TATCACCGACGTAATGAGGATATTAAATATAAGACTAAACCAATACCTTTTTTGACCTAATGTTATAGTAGATATAAATTCCCAGAGAATATTTGATTAACTGCAAGACGTGAAAATTTCCTAAGCTCCATAAAGCAGCAGGTTTAAGAAGATTAATCAATTTCAGCGAATGCCAGTTTGCAATTTACGTAAAGAGTGAATCCACCCTGCTGAGACTGCGAAGTTCTGCGGAGTCACCTGATGTGATCATTTGGAATGAAGAACGTCAGAAGAAGGCCGTTTATTACTGTCAAATGGTGTTATTTCAGCTGAACAACCTACTTTCATCGAGAAACTAAATGACAGTAGTTTGTAACACACGTAATTAAAGTATAGAGAAGTACCTTTCTATCTTCCAAGTAACCTTCTGTGTACTTTCATACGTTCTTTCATCCGTTTTTATTCAACACCTAAAACTGGTTTTAGAACCTTAGATCTGTTTGTCTACTGGATTTTTTTAGTAGTAAGATATGTTGATGAATTAAATATTTGAGGTTGAATACTTAAATAAAATCAAAATACTGAATATCTGCCTTATCTTATATACGTAACTGTTTACGTATATCTATATTTACCATGCTTATTCATTACCAGTAATAGTCTTATTTTGTATTGATACCATAAACTTTGGAATAACATCACAATTACTAGCTCTACAGTGGCACAGCGGTATGTTTGCGGACTTACAACGCTAGAAACCCGGTTTCGATACTCGTGGTGGGCAGAGCACAGACAGCCTATTGCGTAGCTTTGTCCTTAAGCTACAAACAAACACACACAATTACTATGAACAGCGCCCTCTGGATAGAAGTCCGACTAGTTTTCGTGCATTTTAAATTTTTCGTCCATGGTATTATCCAAATAAGTTCCTGCTTATAGCAACTACCAGTCAAGAAGAATAATCTCATATGGATTCATCCGTTCTTGTAAAGTTGACAGTGACGTGATCACACAAGAAAAGTAGCTACAGTAATCGTTCTATGCTTGTAGAGTCATCTTATTTGTAACATTAGTGTTAAAGATAATTACAGAAGGTCGAGTTGGACGTCGCTAAAGATGGTAGCTTGGGACTTGACAGATGCCCCCTCATCTAATCGTTTTCTTCAGCTGTTTCTAAAGTGTGTATCAGGACTATAGCAGCCTTAGTGGCATTGTTAAAAAAAACACCGCCTCCGGTTTTCTCGTTACTGCTTTAACTCGTTAGCTCAATTTCTAACTGCTTGGGCTCTTTTCTCGCACAAGAAAATATCGTATAGGGATTTATAACTCAGTTGGGCCTTGGTCATCATTATATTGAGCGGTTTTGGGGTTGTTTTCCAGATATTCTTAAGCCGAGAACATACCTGAACACACACACACATGATACTTCTACTGTAAGTCCAAAAGCAAATTCAAAAAGAAAACAAAACGCGTTCGGTTGGTTTAAATAAGCTTTCATATTTAGGGTTAGAAATTTCTTTCGAAATCAAAATACTTCAGTAAAATAATGTTTTCGAACGATTAAGACCACCTTAATCTATATTTACATGATGATCCAATAGATAGTAATAACCACTTTTAAAGATGTTCCTTGGTGATTTAACGCCAACATTGATAGATTATTGTGCTAGAACTGGAGGCTCGAACTTTGTAGCAAATAGATTATTGCGCTAGAATTGGGGTTAGATCCTTGTGGCAAACAGATTATTGTGCTAGAACTGGAGGCTCGAACGTTGTAGCAAACAGATTATTGTGCTAGAACTGGAGGCTCGAACTTTGTAGCAAACAGATTATTGTGCTAGAACTGGGGTTCGATCCTTGTGGTAAACAGATTATTGTGCTAGAACTGGAGGCTCGAACGTTGTAGCAAACAGATTATTGTGCTAGAACTGGGGTTCGATCCTTGTGGTAAACAGATTATTGTGCTAGAACTGGGGTTAGATCCTTGTGGCAAACAGATTATTGTGCTAGAACTGGGGTTCGATCCTTGTGTCAAACAGATTATTGTGCTAGAACTGGGGTTCGATTCTTGAGGCAAACAGATTATTGTGCTAGAACTGGGGTTAGATCCTTTTGTCAAACAGATTATTGTGCTAAAACTGTGATTCGATCCTTTTGTCAAACAGATTATTGTGCTAGAACTGGGGTTCGAGCCTTTTGTCAAACAGATTATTGTGCTAGAACTGTGGTTCGATCCTTTTGTCAAACAGATTATTGTGCTAGAACTGGGGTTCGATCCTTTTGTCAAACAGATTATTGTGCTAGAACTGGAGTTCGATCTTTGTAGCAAACAAAGAGCAGGGAGTCTATTGTGCAGCTTTACGCTAAAACAAGCAAACTTTAATACATGTGTTTCTGCTAAATGAATTACTAATGAATCATCCATATTACTCACCTTAAAAGTGGTAAGCTGCTTACAAAAGTGGCTTAATGGTTAGTGTACCGGACTGTAGGTCTGTGGTTTGCGCCCCGTTACTGAGAACAAACAACAACAAAAAAACGCCCTTTGCACATTGGAGCAGCGGGTTGCACTACAGTCTATAACTTGCACGACTAAATCTCACTATTTGATTAAAGTAGCTCATGGATTCTCGATGGGTGTGTTGAATAATTGTCTTCCCTCTAGTCTATCACTTCAAAATTAGGGAAGTCTAGGACAAATAGCCTTTGAATAGCCTTGTGCGAAAGTCGACAAAAATACAATAACAATTAGCTTTCAATGAACAAATCCAATTAAAAACGATGT